TTTGCTTGCTCATGATAAAATTTTGTGCAAAGCACATGGTTGAGGAACCAAATTCAATGTTACTTCCTCCGTTACTAAATAAACTTCTCTTTCCTTTATGGATGTCCCTACATAAAGTCCACTTTCCCTATGTGGTAAACAATTTTGTATCAATTTACTCTACTACCCTTAAATAATAGTGACAACACATTGCAAAACAGTGTTCAACACTGCCAAATAGTGTCAAAATAGCGTAATTGACTGGAAAATTTACCCCTCATTAAAAGGAGCATTTGAGGAAGTCACAGGACAACTTTTTTTCTTAATATATATGTGCAATCCAAAGCGCAGGATCCGTATAGGAAAGGAGGGAGTATTTTTCTGGGTTTAGTTAATGAATGAAAATACTCCTCTTACTTAACAAAAAAGAATATGTATGAGGATGAAATTAGATTGAAATCTTATGGCCAAGGATCAAAATGAGTCCAAAAAATTAGTTACCAAATTGAGGAATAATATATAGCCTAGAACAAAATTTGGTATACTTTGCAAAAAATGTTTTTATATATATTTATTATTACGTTGTTTATGCTACATTTAATTTGTTTCCACAGGTTGAAAGATGGAATGAACAGAGAGAGAGCGGAACATTCCCTGGGCCTCTTTAATTCGATGTGAATATTTTTTTAGGTCATCTTTCTTCATCTGAATTTGGCCTTTTTGCATCCTTTTCAAAAGTGAGATGGATTAATAAGCATTTATGGGTCTGCCTTCTACGGAACCTTCTTATGAAACAGCTTTTGTCATTTGTGAAAAGTTTTCCTAAGCAACACTATGAATTCCCGTATAAAACATTCTTTGTTCTTGTTTATCTTTTGCTTGCTTCACTCTGTCACATTCGCAGGCTCGCAGCCAACTAGCTTCAACAAGCAACGTTGTGCACAATGACTTTCAATTTTTTTCTCATTTTAAAAAGATTAGATTTTAGTCTTGACATGCTTGTCCAAGATAACTAATGTGTGACATATATAACATATTGATATTCATGCACACAACATAGGCATCTTTGCAAATTACACGTACAAGCACACAAATCAATGTTTACGAACGAATAAATTAATGCCTATTCACAGAATCACAGGCATAAGTATCTCTACCTACAAGTATGAAGATCTAAGTTTAGAGACAATGATTATCGGGTAATACAACTTGTTGGTGATTTTAGTGTCACTGATCGTTTTGTGTAATTGGAAATGACATTAGTGTCGATGAGGATTAAAACTCTGTTCTAATACAAGCTAGTAGGTGTAGAGTGCACACTTGTATATAAGAATGAGTTTTATTCCAAAGTGTTTACGACAGTGGAACTCGAGGCAGAACACTCAGTAGACCAACTTCGTGGTTCTAGACCAAGGTCTAGAGCGGTTGGACAGTTTCATGCAATTTTCCAAAATCTGCCACGATTATTCTCAAACGTGTTGTAACTGCCTGGAACGGTTAATATGGATATATATCACCATATTTCGTACAGAGAAGAGAGGGACAAGATATACTCCGTACAACATATCTTAATCACTTTTGGCATTTATATAAAGAAAACAATCCATATACTCACTAGTTTGACTCTAGTTCTTGTGCCTAAGTTCTAGAGTGTCCTTAAGGATTATCCTAGAATGAATTTCTGGTAACCCAGGCATAGGAAGAAATATCAATTCGAAAAGTGAACTTACACAATCCTTAAGCAATCCAAGTACTCGATTATCACCCATGTACATCATACCCCAACACAACCCAGCCTCAATGTGTACAAAGAACGTAAGTCAATGTATACATGTCTTTTCTCATCCGGTTTATGTTATTGTTTATGTACTGATTACACCAACTTTCTTAAATGGACAAAATACACTAGAGCATATCTATTCATTTTGTTGGGCTATCAAAAGATGGTAATAGAGATAAGTTATGTGTATTGTGGAATATTATAGAGCTAGACATGTATAATTATTGAAACAATGGGATTGGTTGACTGGGGTTGATCGCTCGGGACTCGAGAGGTATAAGTATATATGTATATATGTTGTTTTCAGACAAAAAATGTAACTTCATGATTTTTTACCTGATACATATCTTCTTCCTTTTTCAAAAAAAAAAACCCCATGTGTTTATGTTCATTTTATTTTCAACGATCTATATAATGATCTCATCACTACTTAATCCTCAACAGTTTATATAGTTTTTCTTCAATTTATTTCCAACCATCTACATGCTAGAATAGTTTTAAAAATAAGGATAACCTCACCCTTCCTTGTCTACCTCCAAAATTTCTAAAGCAAACCGTCCTTGTGGATGCATAGCAACCCCCAATTTTCTGACATTTCAATGTCAACACTGAGTGTGATGGGTTAAGTCGTATTATCTTGAAATTATATTTGCATTTGTGTTTTAACTTTCAAGTGGGATGGAGACGTGTGCTGGTCGACAGGATAATAAGTTAACCTGGGAGAGGACGGAGGTCTTGCTCCCAATGATTCTTCCTACCTTCACGGAGTTGCTCAGCGGCTGAGAAGGGAAAGGATGATAATGAAGGTAGCGGGTTCGTGTGGTGGGAGGAGCAGCCTGAAAGGTGATGTAAGTCCTGCTGGATTCGTCCTTTGGAACCAGTACTAACGAGGCTGACTGTGATCAGATCCGGACTTAACTGTCTAGGGGCTTTGGAGGGTAGTTCATAAACTCCAGGATTATGAGAGCGTAAGGCCCGACACCTGGATTATAAAAAAAAGATAATAAGTTAACCAAATAGCATTTCGATGATTGAAAAATGATTTTTGTACACCAAATTTGTAAAAGAATTCAACACTTGTATAGACGAGCTTCATTTTCAGAAAGAGTGAAATTGTTTGGTTGGTATTGAATTGATAAAGAGTGAATAAAGTAAGAATGAATTGTAACCATTCAAATATTAACAAATATAGTATGAGACAAATTTAAAGGAGCGGAGAATAAGGTAAAACGGGACATAGTTAGCAGGACGAAAGGAGTACCTATCAATGAAAACATGAGGCGTAGTATTCTTTTATACATAAAAAATTACCTTCTGTCCTATTAGACTTTGCCAATTTTCTTTTTTTGTTTGTCCCGACAAATTTTGTCAATTTCCTTTTGTAGTAATGAATTTATGGCTCCATCCATTCATTTATGTCAATTTTCAGCACAAATCTCAATCATACAGTTTTTACCTAAGTATCCGTCAAGTTTCATACCTAAGTACAACTTGACTATAGCTGGACTATCGAGAGCAAGCTGCAAGCTACGAGTACATAAAAGGCCGTACTCAGCTTAGCTTCTTCGATAGGAAGATGGACCCGGTTACTCGGTTAGAACTTAGAATGATGAAAAATTCAACGTGGGTTTGTCATAACTCATAGGATCAAAATTATTAGATGGTGAAGCTTTACAATGGGTGTTCTTAAGTTTATGTCAGCTGATTGATGATAGCTGAATTAGTTGGTTGTTTTGATCAATTGGTAGTATTAGTTAAATGGCGTTTGTAAAATGGCGTATTAGCGGTTTGTAAAATGGCGTTTAGTTAAATGACTGTTTAAATTCACCTAAAAATTCATAAAATGACTTTTAAGGACATAATTTTTTTATTGGGTGCATAGCACGTTATACTTTTTAAATATAATGATACAAAATTACAACTATTATAAATATTTAAATTATAATTTTAACGGGTATTGTCATTGATATTATTATAATGTACGACTACTTAGACCATTATTATTTACTATTTTCTCCGTCACAAATTGAATTGCAAATTTGACTTTTTTTGGATCAAACAGTGTTATTTTATTCACTTAATTAGAATATCTATTCTTAATTAATTTTTAATTTGAATTTTGCAACTTTATAGAGATTGTAATGTAGTTTCTAAATATGTAAATTTCAATTATTAAAATTAAACTAATTATTAATTGGCAGGATATAGATTTAACAATGGTTGACCAAAAAATGTTGACTTTGCTAAACAAATTGGGATAGAGGTATTACGTATTAAGAAAAATGATAATTGCAAATAACAATTCTTTTACATTTTTCATGTTTTTCTAAATTTATTAATAAATAGTTATATTAACTTAAGTTATGTTAAGAATTGTACAATAGAATTCTGGCTGAAGTGGCTACATCGGCTGTTTTGGCTGAATCTGCTGAAATTTATGAAGTTCTGACTGGATTGTATAATTTTGAATTTGTCTGTGAGATCGATGGATAATGTCTGTGGCCAAACGGTTTAGGTTATATCATTTATTATGATGGAAGTCGCTTTCTGTATTTAAATTTGATTTGATTTGTCTGTAGTTTATCATGTGTTGTTTGTCTTCGTTGATAACAAGATTTTTTGGTAATGAATAGTGTATTTTCGAAGTATACACTTAAGTTTGATTGAATTTGGGGTTCTTAAGTGGCCATTAATTTGGATTTTGAACATGTCTGGGAGATTGAAATATAAGATATATACATTAGTGTGTAAAAATTATGACTTCATTTGTGTTATTCGTAGGATGAAGCATCAACTTGTTATTGCCGTTAAGTCCCATTTCCCGGCCCAGTATTCTCAGTGCACATATTTTGGCAAATTGGAAAACTTGTTGGACTCCATGCCCATCAATCAACGAGAGGTGTTCAAGAAGCTTCCATGGGGTCATTTTGCTAAGATTCCAGAATTGCATTTTTCGGGCAGATTGTTCATATGTTGTTGTTGCGGCTGGTTTGGCAACAACCCGTGGATGAGCTGTGGTTTTCCATAAGAGGGAAGATCTTTAAGTTCACGTTTAAAGATTTTTGTGAAATAACCAACCTGTCGGCGTACATCACCAGACCCACTTTTGTAAAAAAAATGAGAAAGATAGTGTTGAAGATATCTTCTTCAAAGGAAACAAGCGTGTGACGTACCAAGAGTTGAATGATGCAATAGAGGCGGTGAATCCAAAGAAGAGGATTGACCCGTTAGCTTTTGTGAAGTTAGCTTCCCTTTTCGTGGTTGATGGTATGTTGCTGACTAGAGACCACGACACAAAGATCAATGTTGATCATTTTGATTGGGTTGAAGACTTTGAGAACTTCCAAAAATATCCTTGGGCACTCGAGTCTTATAACCTTATGGTTAGCAATATGAAGTCGTTGATGCGTGGTCAACCGAACAAGTTTGAAGCTGCGTTAGCTAAGAATCCTGGCTACAAGAACGCTAAGTTCACGGTTTGGTTTTTACTGCACGTGTTGCAGGTTGGTTTTAACATCGTTTATCTCTTTCCAAAATCGTCTGTCTGAAGTTGTTTGTGACTTGACATTTGATTAACTATTTTTTTGGTTGTTTATACAGGTTTGGGCGTATGAGAAAATCCCTTGCGGGAAAATGCGGCCAAAAAGTGAAATCTGAACAAGCTAGCATTTTGAATTGGAAAGCTGTTGGGTAGTTATATGATGGAGTATATGGGTCTAGGCCCCAGGACCCACATACTCAGAAGAACAGAAAGCACAGCCACTACGCGGTGCCCTCGTCGGCCAAAGACCCTCGTCGGCCGAAGAAGGACCAACTCAGAATACGATCCTGAGGCCAAGGAAGCAGGGTGTCCTCATCGGCCGTGCCCTCATCGGCCGTGCCCTCGTCGGCCAAGACCCTCGTCGACCACGGAGGTCTCACAGAACAGGATTTTACACTTATTCATTTATATATCCCACCAGTGGCTTTGTATTCGGCCCAATAGCGGTCCAGTTGTAAATACTTCCTATAAATACTTCCTCTGGAGGTAGTTATAGGGGTTACAAATTCATTCTATTGAAGCATTACTTGCACTTCTCTCTCTAGCTCTCACTTCTCTCTAGATATATACTCTATCATTTGGTGCTCTCGTTGAGAGCTAGAACAATCAAGTTAGCACCCTTCGTCGCTACCAAGTACAACTAACCACTGATCATGGGAAGAACAAAGTCAAACCGCAACCTCGTCAGCAAGGCCATCCCTGAGGACCAGGAGACCAGGGAGCATGAAGAGGACGCTACGGCCGACCAGGTCGGCGGAGGAGACGTCTTCCAGGAGGCAATCAACCTCACGACGGACCTCCGCAACCAACTCAACGGCGGAGCCCCTGACGCCCGCATCGGCCTGGACAAGAAACGAGCTGAGAAGACAGACCACGCCCCGACCCAGCCTATGGCCGCGACTTCTCCGTCTGTGGATCCACAGGTCCAGGACGCGTTGTCGGTCATCATCGCCAGCTTAGCCCAGAACCCCACCTTCCTCAGTGCACTCTTGCCAAGGACCGGGGGGAACGTCACTCCACCTCCTCAGCCCCAACCGTTGGCCGTCAGGTTAGGCAACGATGAGGGGGGTGATGGCCCAGGACACGGCGTCGTCCCATTCCCACCCTGCTTCCCCTTTTCGGCCTGGGCAGACCCCAGCGCGTGGAAAAGCCTCTGCCTTCAATAGGCTAGGTGACACGCGCCGTCGTCCGGTTTCGGGGAGGATGGCAGGGCGGATTGGTGAGCGTCGGCCTGGCTCGCCAAGGGAAAGCTTGGGGTCTGTGTCCCGGACAGCGGACCAGCCCCGCCTGGACAAGGGCAAAGGAAAGTTGCACGAGGACGACGTGTGCCACCAGATCAACGCGGCTCACGACGAGCGCATGAAGAACCAGCATGGTGCCGCTGCGGCCGCCAGGGACCCCCGGGACGAGGTCATCGCCCAGCTGGAAAGGAGGCTGGCCCAGATGGAGGCCAGGCAATCGGCGAACATCCCCACGGCCGGCGTCTCCAACGACCCTGGCCTCAACGCCCTCATGAACAAAGTCAGCGCCCTTGAGAGGGAGTTGGCCGAAGGGCGAGGTGACCCCGTCATCCAGGTCAGGACGAGGACCCCTTTCACCAACAGGGTGCTCTCGGCCCCCATCCCGGAGAAGTACAGGGGAAACGCCATCAAGTCCTACGATGGCCGATCAGACCCCCAGGAGCACTTCAGCCGCTATCAGAACAACATGCTGATGGTGAACGCGTCGGATGAATATCTCTGCCGTTGGTTCCTCTCCACTCTTGAGGGGCCGGTGTACGAGTGGTTCAACGCGCTTCCCGAAGGAAGTATTGACTCATGGCAAGACCTTGCCCAGCGCTTCCTCACCCATTTTGCCGGGAGGAAGCGTGCGAAGAAGTATTTCACCCATCTCCTCTCCATGAACCAGCAACATGACGAACCCCTCCGGTCATTCATTGATCGGTGGACGAGGGAGACCGAAGAGGTCGAGGGGGCCGATGAGCGCATCCTCCTCGTCCTATACCAGGGAGCCCTCCGCAGCTCCCCGTACTCCAGGAGCCTCATCACCGACCCTCCAAGGTCGTACGCAAAGGCGCTCCAGCGCGGGAGCTTGTACGCTGACGCCGACGAGATCCACAACCACAAGAAAGAGGGAGGCCATCCCTCCAAGAAGACAAATCCTTCACCGGCCCCGGGACCATCCCCGGCCGGCCAGGGTGCCCAGGGCCGTCAAGGCTCTGGTGGACAAAGTAAGAAAGACCGCCACTGGCGGCCGAGGTTGGAAAGGCCGGGGGTCCCCCTCACCCACCCGGTCAGCACCATCCTCGACTACGCCGAGAAGCATGGCCTCATTGAGCAAGCCCCTCGGCCAACCGAGGAAGTCCTTTCCATCCAGCAAGGCGGCACATACTGCCGATTTCACAAAAACTCCTCACACAACACCGATGACTGCATCACACTGAAGAAAGCCATCGAGCGCCTTATTCGGTAGGGGGAACTCTCCCAATTTGTTAAAGGTGGCCCGCGCAAAAATACGTGGGTAAACACCGGGAAACCTGGGGGCGAACCCTCTATGAAGAAGTTGGAGATCGGCAGGCTCAGCGACGACGAGGACTTTGAAGAGCCTCTGCCAAAGAAGAACCATATTCACCTCATTGTAGGTGGGAACACCGGGGGGACTCCTTCACCCAGAGGAAGAAATGGGCCCAATCCCTTTACATTGGGGAAGTTTCCCACGTTCCTCCCCAGCCGAAGAAGCAGCGAACGGAGGCGATCACCTTCACCGACAAGGATCTGCCTCCGGGTACGGAATCACATAGGGACGCCCTCGTCATCCGGTGTGAGATCGGTGACTCCATCATCCACCGCACTTACATCGATACGGGGAGCTCCGTCAACGTGATGTACCTGGATACCTTTAGGCAGCTGAAGCTGGACAAAGCTCTGTTGAAGCCGATCAAGACACCGTTGTCCGGCTTCACCGGGGACTCTATCGACGCCGAGGGCACGATAGTCCTCCCCGTGGAGGTCGGTGACGGCCCCCACCGCGCCAAAATTGACATGGAATTCATGGTGGTCAACCTCCAGTGCGCCCACAACCTGATCTTGGGGCGGCCAACACTGGAGGACTTGGAGGCCATCATCTCCATGAAGCACCTGTGCCTGAAGTTCCCCACCAATGGCGGCATCGGCTACGCCAGAGGAAACCAGAGGATAGCCAGAGCATGCTACCTCAAGCTAACGAGGCCGGCCGAAAGGGAAGGACAGAGGATAGACACCATCACGGCAGCCGTTGCCAAGGATGAGGAGAGGCCGCATGCCAAACCGGCTGAGGAGGTCGAGGAAGTCCCTCTGGATACCTCCCGGCCGGAGCGGGTCCTCAAAATCGGGAAGCAACTCCCACAGGACCAGCAGGACGCCATCCTCCTCGTCCTACGGTCATACGCCGTTATCTTCGTGTGGGGCTCGGATGACATGCCAGGCATCAACCGGCAGGTGATCACCCATCGACTGACCGTCGATCCAGCCTCCGCGCCTGTCAAGCAGAAGCGGCGCTACTTATCCGCCGACAGGCGGGACTTCATCAAAGGGGAGGTCGCCATGCTCCTCTCAATCAACCACATCAAAGAGGTGAAGTACCCGACGTGGCTAGCCAACGTCGTCCTCGCCCAAAAACCACCGACATTCAGAATACTCATCGTCCAACAAACAAAGCGCACCAAAGGAACAATAGTCTTCCCCGTCCGCATCAGGGGGCAGTCAACGGCCAAACTCAGAACAAGGCCACCAAACGCCGCAACAGGGAACGGCCAACGTGGTCCCGCATCGGCCAAGAAGCATCAAGCACAGAAATCTACTCTCCCTCACTTCGTCTACATCTCAGCTTAGAGAGTGGGGGAATCCTGATGGAGTATATGGGTCTAGGCCCCAGGACCCACATACTCAGAAGAACAGAAAGCACAGCCACTACGCGGTGCCCTCGTCGGACAAAGACCCTCATTGGCCGAAGAAGGACCAACTCAGAATACGATCCTGAGGCCAAGGAACCAGGGTGTCCTCATCGGCCGTGCCCTCATCGGCCGTGCCCTCGTCGGCCAAGACCCTCGTCGGCCACGGAGGTCTCACAGAACCGGATTTTACACTTATTCATTTATATAGCCCACCAGTGGCTTTGTATTCGGCCCAATAGCGGTCCAGTTGTAAATGGGCCTCCCAAGCCCAAGGCTTGGGAGCCCAACCCGTATTTTTCCTATAAATACTTCCTCTGGAGGTAGTTATAGGGGTTACAAATTCATTCTATTGAAGCATTACTTGCACTTCTCTCTCTAGCTCTCACTTCTCTCTAGATATATACTCTATCATTATATATGTGTATAACTATGATGCCACGAAGTAGTTATATATGTGCTTATGTTTATGATGCAATCCTTAAACCAAACATATGTATATCAACTTCTGGTTTTGCAATATACGATGGTAGTAAAATGGATGTGAACATTATGGCTAAGTATGTGATAATATGTCATATATTGTGATGACACAAAAAATTGTGTCATTACATGCGTTGTCATTGCCCAAAACAAAGAAAGATTCAAGCTTAAGTCATCATTATACATCCATTGTAAATCGGTTGGTGCAACATTTGTTGGTACTACGTCTTCAACATTGCTTGGTTCGGCCACTTCCACTGATGTTTTCTCAGCTTGCTTTTTTCTACTACTAGAAAAGTAGCTTACAGTGACACTTGTCTAGTGACACTATCTATGTTATAAGATAATTTGTGACACTTATATATAAGTGATTTTTATACTACTATATCCGTATATACTAGTGACACTCCTAAATGCATTTTATTTAATTTTAGTTTTTCTTTTTAACTTAAAAACATTTAATATATAGGATTAGCCCTAATTTTCCAATTCTCATCCTCTTCACTCTCGACATTGCTCTGGAATCGGGATGGCTGAACCTTTCTGCCGCTCCTCTTCTCAGAACCCTAGCCGGACAAGCGATTCTCATTGAAGTTTAAGCCCAGCCCCTTCTTCCCGACCTTCATCCAATCTAGCCATTCTCTTCCAAATTTCCACTAACAGTCTAGGGTTCGGGTGCAACCGATTTTGGCGGCCTTTCTTCCTTCATTGAGCCGAGCCGATTATGAGAGGCAAACGTCGATGAGATATGGCCCTAGCAGCGACTCTACACC